CAAGCAGTGTTTCATTCTGTTATGCATAGGGTTGCTTTGAGTCAGAGATGACTCGACAGCACCTAACAACATGCTTGGAGCCCCACTCATCTGTCAGTTTGTCATATTGTGGTAGCTTACATGTTGCTGTGATGCTAGAAGCTATGCCAACAGTATTTCAAGTACCATCAGGGTCACCCATGGTGAACAACTTTCAGCAGAGCTTGCAGACTAAGACAGACTGGGGAGAAAGACATGGTGATCTACTTCTAAAAGAACTGGCCAGGGAAACCATATGAATAGCAGCATAACATTGTCTGATATAGTGCCAGAAGATGAACCCCTTAGGTTGGAAAGCATTCAAAATATGACTGGTAAAGAGCTCCCTTCTCAAAGTAGAGTCAACCTTAATTACCTGGATGGAGCAAAGCTTTCAGGACCTTTATTTGCTGATGTGACACAACCCAAAATGAGAAGAAACAGCTGCAAATATCTATTAATAATCAGAACATGGAATGTATGAAGTATGAATATAGGAAAAATTGGAAGTCATCAACAATGAAATGGAGCACATAAAGATCAATATCCTAGCATTAGCGAGCTGAAATAGACTGGCATTGGCCATTCTGAGCTGGACAATCATATGGTCTAGTATGCCGGAATGACAAATTGAAGGGGAATAGCATCACATTCATTGTCAAAAGGAACATTTCAGGATTTATCCCGGAACACAACACTGTCAGTGATAGGACAATATTCATATGCCTACAAGGAAAACCAGTTAATATGACTATTATTCAAACTTACACACCAACCACTAATGCCAAAGATGAAGAAATTGAAGATTTTTGCCAACTTCTACTGCCTGAAATTGATCAAACATGTAATCACGATGCATTGATAATTCCTGGTGTTTGGTATATGAATGTTGGAAAACAATTGCTCACATGCAAGTTCAAGTTGAAGCTAAAGAAAATTAACACAAGTCCACAACAGGCAAAATACAACTTTGAGTATATCCCTCTTGAATTAGAGACCATTTCAAGAATAGATTTGACACATTGAACATTAATGAGCAAAGACAGATGAGTTGTGGGATGACATCAAGAACATCATATATGAAGAAAGAAAAGGATATTAAAAAGACGGGAAAGAAAGAAAAGACAAAAATGGATGTCAGAAGAGACTCTGAAACTTGCTCATGAATGTAGAGTAGCAGAAGTGAATAGAACAAATGATGCAGTGAAAGAGCTGAACGGAAGATTTCAAAGTGTGGCTCAAGAAGACAAAGTAAAGAATTATAATGAAATGTGCAAAGACCTGGAGTTAGAAACTAAAAGGGAAGAACACACTCAGCATTTTCAAGCTGAAAGAACTGAAGAAAATACATCAAGTTGCAATATTGAGGATTCTATGGGCAAAATATTGAATGATGCATGAAGCATCAAAAGAAGATGGAAGGAATACACAAAGTCATTGTATTAAAGAATTGGTCTATGTCCAACCATTTCAGGAGGTATATATGATCAAGAATTGATGATATTGAAGGAAGAAGTCCAAGCTAGACTGAAGGCATTGGCGAAAAATAAGGCTTCAAGAACTGACAGAATACCAACTGAGATGTTTCAACAAACAAATGAAATCTGGACATGTTCACTTATTTATGCCATGCAATTTGGAAGACAGCTACTTGATCAACCAACTGGAAGAGATCCATATTTGTACCCATTCCAAAGAAAGGTGATCCAACAGAATACAGAAATTATCAAACAATATCATTAATATCACACAGAAGTAAAATTTTGCTGAAATCATTAAAAAAATAGTTGCAGCTGTACACCTACAGGGACATACCAGAAATTCATATTGCATTCAGAAGAGGATGTGGAATGAGAGATATCGTCACTGATGTCAAATGGATCTTGGCTGAAAGCAGAGAATACCAGAAAGATGTTTACTTGTGTTTTATTGACTATGTAAAGGGTCTTGACCTAGTGGATCATAACAAATTACATATAACATTGCAAAGAATGGGAATTCTACAACACTTACTTGTTCAGACCAAGAGGCAGTCATTCTAACAGAACAAGGAGATACTAAAACCAAAAACTAAACTCACTGCTGTTGAGTTGATTCAACTCATAGCGACCCCTCCTTGGATTTCTGAGGTGGTATCTCTATGGAAGTAGATTGCCCAGTCTTCCTTCCAAGGAGTGACTGGTGGATTTGAAATGCCAGCCTTCTGGTTAGCAGTCAAATGCCTTAGGCACCAGAGCTCCTGAGGAGACACTGTGTGGTTTAAAATCTGGAAATGTGTATGTCAGGTTTGTATCCTTTCACTATAGTTATTTAATCTATATGCTGAACAAATAATTCATGAAGGTCAACTATATGAAGCATGTGGCATCAGGATTGGAGGAAGACTCAGTTAACAACCTGTGATATGCACAGGACACAAAACAAAGAGGACTTGAAGCACTTATTGATGGAGATCAAAGATTACAGCCTTCAGTATGGATTACACCTCAACCTAAAGAAGATAAAAATCCTCACAAGTGGGCCAATAAGCAACATCATGATAAGTAGAGAAAAGACTGAAGTTTTCAAGGATTTCATTTTACTTGGATCCACAATCAACACCCATGGAAGTAGAAGTCAAGAAGTCAAATGATGTATTAAATTGGGCAAATCTGTTCCAAAAGACCTCTTTAAGGTATTCAAAAACAAAGTTGTCACCATGAGGACTAATGTGTGCCTGACCCATGCCATGGTATTTTAAAATGCCTCATATGCATGAGAAAGATGGGCAATGAATATGGAAGCTTTAAGAAGAATTTATGCCTTTGAATTATGGAATTGGAGAAGAATGGTAAATACACCAGGGACTGTGAGAAGAAGGACCAAATTGGAAGTACATCCAGAGTGTTCCTTAGAAGCGAGGATGGTGAGACTTCATCTCATATATTTTGGACATGTTATCAAGAGGCACCCGTCCCTGGAGAAGGACATCCTGCTTAGTGAAGTAAAAGGTCAGCAAAAAAAAGAAAGACCCTCAACGAGATGGATTGACTCAGTGGCTGCAATAGGGGGCTCAATCATAGCAACAATTGTGAGGTCAGTGCAGTACTGGGCAGCATTTCGTGCTGTTGTACACAGGGTTGCTATGAGTCAGAATGACTCAAATGCACCTAACAACAGCATGCTTGGAACAGATATGGAAGAACCTGAACCAAAAGGAGGGGAGTGACCACAAGGATAGGAGTAGGTAGACTCAGAGCCAAGATGATGGACTCTAATATAGCAGTTGTGGTGGTGACTTAGCAATGGCTGTGCTTACATCAGAAATGGTAAAAATATGATACAAGAATAGTGCCAGTCACTGTAATAAAAGTGGGTGTGCTCAGAAAAAGGTGTGTGCTCAGATCCTACACAAGTAATTATGGTAAGTAAAGAGGTGATTTTATTCAAAGCAAGTGCCAGAATCTGAAAAAAATTGTTTTTGATCATAGATTAGAGTAAGTGATGACAGACTTTGTCAGATAATAAATATTTTAGGCTTTTCAGGCCATACAGTCTTCATCACAATTATGCATGTTGTTGTTGTTGTTATTTGCCGTCGAGTCGGCCCCAACTCATAGCAACCCCTCCTTGGGTTTCTGAGGCAGTTATCACTACGGAAGTAGGATTGCCCAACCTTCCTTCCGAGGAGTGGCTGGTGGGTTTGAACCACCAGCCTTCTGGTTAGCAGTCAAGTGCCTTAGGCACTATGCTACCAGAGTTATGCATAGTAGCTAGAAAACAGCTAGACAATAGTACATGAATGGGCATGGCTGTGTTCCAATAAAACTTTACTTAGAGAACCAAAAAGCAGGCCAGATTTAGCCGTAAGGTGTAATTTGCTGATATTCAATATATTGACTAAAACCAAAACAAAACCCACTGCCATAGAGTCATATCCGACTCACAGTGACCCCTCATTGGGTCCGAAGTGGTATCACTATGGAAGGAGATTGCCCAACCTTCCTTTTGAGGAGTGGCTGGTGGGTTTGAACTGCCAGCTTTCTGGTTAGCAGTCAAGTGCCTTAGGCTCTATGCTACCTGAGCTCCTAATATATTGACTAGGGATCAATAAATTGAATATTACAAGGCAGTGGTGTTACAGGTGGTGGGTGGAATAGGCCTAATTGTACTTGGCACAGTAATGAGAGCTTATAATAAAATTGTGATGTTTGTCAACAGAATTGTTGTGGTTTTGCTAAGCAGATATGATAGAATACAATTAACTTGTGATTGAGGGTAATATTTGCAAGAAGTGTTTCTGATTGAAATGGAAGAGGCAGACACTGAACAAAGGAATAAGAGGCCAGAGTAGAAATGAAGGATTCAAGAAGTAGGATTCAAGAAGGAACAGAATTGTGTCTAATTGGTGTGGTGGCTTGACTAGAGTCTAGAGCAGAAATAGCAGAAAGGGAAGAAAAGATGGTGGTTGTCACTGTGTGTGTGCTTAGACAAGACATTGTATTAGTACCTGATACAACTGTGTTGATGATGGATTGAGCAGAAATGTTAGCAGTCTTGATACCAAAGGTGGTGTCAGAGGCTGTGAAGAGTCCAGAGTCACTAGTGGAGACTTCAGTGGATCCAGAGGCTGTGGTAAAGGCCAAGATGTGTGATGAGGTCCAAGTGAAGTCTGTGGTGACACTAAAGACTGTGGTGTGTACAGAAGGTAATGTGGGAGTGTTGGTGTCCCCAGAAGCTGTGATGCTGAGAACATAGTAGGCACAGATGCTGAAGTGGATACTGTGGTATTCTTAGAGGTTATGGTTGAGACAGAGTTTCAGAAACTGTGGTGTTTATAGTGGGCATAAAAATTGTGAACAAATTTGTAGAGCGCTCAGAGGCTGATGTGAAGGCTATGAAAACTACAGAGGACTTGATAGTCTCAAAACCTGTAATGGAGGCTGTAGTAGTGACAGATGCTATTGTGGTCTTAGAGCTTGTGGTGGAAACCATACTATTACCAGGTTCTGATGTGATCCCAGAGGTTGTGTTGGGAGTCATGCTGGTCTCAGATGTTGTGGTGGAGGCTGTGATGGTCTTAGAGACTGTGGTGGTCTTAGAGGCTGTGGTGGTCTCAGAGGCCATGGTGGAGGCTGTGGCAGTTTCAGAGGCTGTGGTGGCAGATATGGTGATCTCAGAAGCTTTGGTGGAGGCTGGGTTTCTCTCAAAAGCTGTGATGGTTCGAGAGCCTATAGTATTTTCAGAGCCTGTGGTGGAAGCCAGGATGGACACAGGTGCTTTTGTAGATGACCTGATGGTTTCAGAAGCTGTGGTAGAGATTGTAATGACTTCAGAGCCAACAGTGGTCTCATAGGATGTGGAGGAGGTCATGGTGGTCTCAGAAGCTGCAATGGAGGATCTGGCGGTCTCAGAGCCTGCAGTGGTTCCAGAGGCTGTGGTGACTACTGTGGTGGGCACAAATGCTGCTGTGGAGAATGTGCTGTTCTCAGAAGCTTTGGTGGACAATGTGGTTGGCATAGATGTCATTGTGAAAGGCTTTGAGGCTGTGGTTGAGGTCCTAATGGGCACAGACATTATCATGGAGGGTGTGGTGATCTCAGAGACTGTGCTAGAGGCTGCTAGGGATACAGATGTTGTAGTGGGAAGCAAAGTTATCTCAGAGGCTGTGTTAGAGACTTTGGTGGGTATAGATGCTGAGGTATACAGCAAGATAGTCTCAGAACCTGTTATGGTGCCCATTGTAGACACAGACTCTGCAATTGTCCTTGAGGCTGTGGTTGTCTCAGAAGTCATGGAAGAGGATGTGTTGGTCTCAGAAGCCTGGGATGAGGTCATGTTGATCTCAGAATTCTCGGAAGAGGCATTTGTGGCATCAAATCTTGTGGTGGTCTTAGAAAATATTCTGGTGACTACAGTGGGTTCTGAGGCTTTGACAAAGGCCATGGCATTCTCTGAGTATGTCTTAGATGATACTGTATCCATAGAAAGTATGGTAGAGGATGTGGTGGGCTCAGAGGCTGAGGTGGACTCAGGGGTTGTAGTCATCCCTAAAACACATAAATTTATTTACTTATCTTATTGTGCTTGGGGTGTAAATTTACAAAGCAGATTTGTTTTACGTTAAACAGTTCATGCACATTTAATTTCATGGACCCAATTACCCTCTCCAACCATAAAAACTCTCCTCCCCTCTCCTCCCTGTGACTAACCCCTCCCTATGCCCTTCTTATCTATCAATTCCTGTCTGTCCAGCTTTCTCTCTGTGTGAATGCTGCCCCTCTGATGTCTCATGGCTGATTGATCTAAGGGGTGCATCTCCCTAGGATAGGTGGGTGCATCGCCCTGGGGTAGGTGTTCTACATGCGGTCTTTCTACCGTTGGGCTGAGAGGCAATCCATGGAAGTGAGTCCATTTCCAGGCCCAAAGGGTAATCCAGAGCCATAATCTCAGGTGTTACACCAGTCTTTATTCTACCAGTAATTCTGGTCATTTTTGAGAACACATAAAATTTTAAACATATATGTCACAAACTTTTACATTATTGATACTTAATTAGAAGCATTGTGTATATCTGTTTTTCTTATTTCGTTTAAGTCAGCAAAATTACTGATGTCTAGATTACAGTTAACCTTTGATTTGGAAATATTTATTTTAGAGGTTTGTCATGGATTAAATTGTATACCCCCAAAATATATGTCAACTTGGGTAGGCCATGATTCCCAGTGTTAGATGATTGGCCTCCATTTTTCTGATATGATGAAATTATCCTCCATTTTGTAATGTGTTGTAAATCCTATTTCGGTTTTCTTTATATGTTAATGAGGGAGGATCAGTGTGAGGTGTATCTTGCAACACAGCCTTTACAAGAGTGACTCAAGTCACACCCTTACTCAAGTCACACCCTTGCTTGAGTCACACCTTTTATCTTGCAAGAGACAAAAGGAGAGAGAAGCAAGCAGAGAGGGGAGGACCTTACTACCACCGACAAAGAAGAGCCCAGAGCAGAATGTGTCCTTTTGGATATGGGGTACCTGAACTACCTAGACCCAGGGGAAGATTGATACCAAGACATATGGAGATTGCCAAGGAATGCCAGACCCACAAATACTGAAAGGGGACAAGAACTTCCCCAGAGACCTGACAGACATAGAAAGCCTTCCCCTAGAGCTGGCACCCTGAATTTGGAATTCTAACCTGCTAAAACGTGAGAGAATACATTTTTGTTGGTCAAAGCCATCCACTTTTGGTATTTCTGACAGCAGCACTAGATAACTAAGACAAAGTTACAACATTTGTAGTTGCTTCCTCCTGTTTCTCCGCCCCCCACCCTTGGCCCCTTTCTTGGAGTATGTGGCTGTTATGGGCCCAATTGCTGATTTAACTGTGTGTCTGTATTAAATGAATAAATCGTTTGCTTCAGTCTGTTTGACACTTTCTCAGAACATTCCTAATCAGGGTTCTATTTTATTTTTTGCCACTAAACTGGGCTAGGTGAATTTTTAAACCTAACCCACATTAAGGAGTGTGGTAGTTCAGTTTGTGTGTCAACTTGACTGGGCCTGGTTGAGTGGCTGGGCAGCTGGATGTAGTATTCCCCATGATGAAACTGGTAGTCATCTCCATGGTGGAATCTACTGTGAGCAGCTGTGTAGCTGCCTTAGGGATGTGGTCTGCTTCCTGTATATAAGGAGAAGCCTTAGAGAACAGTCTCTAGCCTATGGCACGCTTGGACCCTGCATGTAGTTGTGTCATTGTTCAGCAGCCTGCCATGCTCTGCTGATCTTGCGACTTACAATGGACTTGAGTTAATGGCCTGCCATGTGGCTTGGTAACATTGGGACTGTGCCTTTTTATTTGTCAATCTTGGGCTTGGCAGCCTCAGCAGCCAACAGCTGTCTGAGTGAAGAAAAGCCTCTAGCTCCAGTGGGCCGGGAGCTGGAGGCAGAGCTGAAGCCCAAGGCTGAGGGTCTTTCACCCAGCCCCTAGAGCCTGGCACTTTGAACTTGGACTTAAAGCCTCCAAATTGTAAGAATAAACTCCTATTTGTTAAGACCATCCCATTTTGTGGTATATTTCTTGTCAGAGCGGCACTAGGTAATCAGAACAAGGAGGAAATACAAACCAAATGGCATATCTTCTCCCTTTGTGTGTTTTAACACTAAGGATAGTTGGAGTTCAGAGAAGGGAAAAGGAATGGTGTTTTACATCTGGAATGATCCCCACAGAGGATTCCTTTAGTCAGGTGGAAGTAACAAAGAGGTCACAACAAAATGGATGGGCAGTGTTCTGGTTACCTAGTGCCACTCTGACAAGAATATACCACACATGGGATGGCTGAACAAACAGTTTATTCTCTTACAATTTTGAGGCTTTAAGTCCAAGTTCCAAGTGCCAGGCTTTAGGGGCTGGGTGAAAGACCCTCAGCCTTGGGCTTCAGCTCTGCCTCCAGCTCCCAGTCCACTGAAGCTAGAGGCTTTTCTTCACTCAGACAGCTGCTGGCTGCTGAGGCTGACAAGCCCAAGGTTGACAAGTAAAAAGGCACAGTACCAATGTTACCAGACCACATGGCAGGCCATTAATTTAAGTCCATTGTAAGTCCCAAGGTCAGCAGAGCATGGCAGACTGCTGAACAACGAAATGGCTACACGCAGGGTCCAAGAGTGCCATAGGCTGGAGACCATTCCCCAAGGCTTCTCCTTATATACAGAAAACAGACCATGTCCCCTGAGGCAGATACTCAGCTGCTCACAGTAGATTCCATCATGGAGTTGATTACCAGTCTCATCATGGGGAATACTATATCCAGCTGCCCAGCCACTCAACCAGGCCTAGCCAAGTTGACACACAAACTGAACTACCACAGGCAGCTTGAGCAGAGACTGAAAAAAGCAAACCCTTTGTCATTGAGTCATTTTTGACTCATGACAACCTCATGCATTACAGAGTAAATTGCCCCATATGATTATCTTGACTATAATCTTCTTGTTGTTGTTGTTATTTGCCATCGAGTAGGCCCCGACTCATAGCGACCCCTCCTTGGGTTTCCGAGGCAATATCACTATGGAAGTAGGAATGCCCAACCTTCCTTCTGAGGAGTGGCTGGTGGGTTTGAACCGCCAGGCTTCTGGTTAGCAGTCAAGTGCCTTAGGCACTATGCTACCAGAGCTCCTTGACTATAATCTTATCAGAAGCCAATTGCTAGGTGGGTTCTAACTGCCAAACTTCCCATTAATAGCCCACCCATTAACCGCACCACCCAGCGACCTTGAGCAGAGACACACAAGTACTAAGCCCCTTTCACACTGTGGAATGTTTCTGCACACTGTGTAAGGCTGAGCAAAGCCTACAGGTTCTGATGCCAAAACTGAACCCAGCCAGCATGTATTCAGATAGGGCTAGATTTTGTACGGCCTCTTTACGGGATCAAACAGAAACTAAGATGACTTAGTTGAAGCTCTCACTGCAGAGACATTCGGTAATGTGAGGCTAAAAATTCCTTGGGATAATTTCTTTCTTTTCTTTTATGTTCCTTTTTTTTTTTTTTTAATCTTAAATATAAAGTAGACCAAGCAGTAGCAATGGGAATGGACTAGGGAAGAACCTGGGAGATTAGTCTCAGTTTCTCTCTGATATGTCTTCTTCACACTCGTACTTCTCACTCATTCATACAAAAATATTTCTTAAGAATCTGCCATACGTCAGGTGCATCTGGATGGTGCAAAGAGTTTGTGCATGGCTATCAACCTAAAATTGGGCAGTTCTAACACACACAGCAACACTACAGAAGAAAGGCCTGGCCATATGTTTCTGTAAAGACTACATCCAAGAAAACCATTTGGAGTTTATTTCAAGTCTGTAACTCACAGCCTCACTATGAATCAGAATCCACTTGATGGCAATGGGTTTGGTTTTTGGTGTATGTTTAGCAATATAATATGGGCATGATGTCTAAATACGTAGATGTAGATGCCAGGAAAAATGCTTATAGTTGGAAGTTGTTGCCTCTGGAGGGCAAGACTCAGACATGAAAAGGAGCAGATACATCCACGATGGCTATTATTTTTAAATAAGCTTATGTAATTAATTATAGGAGCTCTGGTGGTGTGGTGCCTAAGGTATCTGACTGCTAATCAGAAGGTTGGCAGTTCAAACCCACCAGCCGCTCTGCAGAAGGAAGAGTGAGCAATCTATTTCTGTCAAGATTTACCGCCTCAGAAATCGAATAGGGCTTGGTATGAGTTGGACTCGACTCATTGGCAGTGAGTTTTGTTTTTTGGTTTTTATGTAACTATTGGACGTTTCAAACTACTTGAATGGATTACTCTGATAAAACTTGCAAAGGAAACACCCATACACAGTGAGTAGGATAT